AGAAATGCGACTAGGTGATTAAGAGATAGCCAACATATCAGATGCAGGGTTCAAAGCGTTGGTAATCAGGATGCTCACAGAAATGGTTGAATATGGTCACAAAATAGAGGAAAAAGTGAGGGCTAAGCAAAGTGAAATAAAGCAAAACACACAGGGAACAAAAAGTGAAGGGAAGGAAAATGGGACTCAAATCAACAATTTGGAGCAGAAGGAAGGAATAAGCATTCAACCGGAAGAGAATGAAAAAACGAGAATTCCAAAAAATGAGGAGAGGCTTAGGAACCCCTGGGACAACTTTAAATGTTCCACTTGAACCATAGGGGTGCTAGAAGGAGAAGAGGAAGAGCAAGAAACTGAAAACTTGTTTGAAAAAATAATGAAGGAGAACTTCCCTAATCTGACCAAGGAAATAGACTTCCAGGAAGTCCAGGAAGCACACAGAGTAACAAACAAGTTGGACCCAAGGAGAAACACACCAAGGCACATCATAATTACATTACCCAAGATTAAAGATGAGAGAATTCTAAAAGCAGCAAGAGAAAAGGAGACAGTTAACCTACAAAGGAGTTCCCATAAAACTATCAGCTGGTTTCTCAAAAGAAACCTTACAGGCAAGGAGGGGCTGGCAAGAAGTATTCAAAGACATGAAAGGCAAGGACCTACAGCCTAGATTACTCTATCCAGCAAAGCTGTAATTTAGAATGGAAGGGCAGATAAAGTGCTTCCCAGACAAGGTAAAGTTAAAGGAGTTCACCATCACCAAGTCCTTATTATATGAAATGTTAAAGGGACTTGACCTAAGAAAAAGATCAAAAGTATGAACGGTAAAATGACAACAAACTCACAACTATCAACAACTGAACCTAAAAAACAACAACAAAAACAAACTAAGCAAACAACTAGAACAGGAACAGAATCACAGAAATGGAGATCAGAAGGGAGAGGAATGGGGGAGAATGCAGAAAAAGGTACAGGGAATAAGAAGCATAATTGGTAGGTACAAAACAGACAGGGGGAGGTTAAGAAGTATAGGAAATGGAGAAGCCAAAGAGCTTATGTGTACCACCCATGGACATGAATGAAGGTGGGGAGGGGATGCTGGAAAGGGAATAAAGGGGAGAGAAAAATGGGACAACTGTAATAGCATAATCAATAAAATATACTTTTAAAAAACCACAATGAGATATCATCTCATATCCATTAGGATGCCTATAATAAAAAAGAAGCAGAAAATAAAATGTGTTAGGATGTAGAGAACTTGGAACGTTTGTGCACTGTTGGTGGGAATGTAAACGACACAGCTGCAATAAGCAACAATATGGAACTTTGAAAAAAATTAAAAATAGAATTACTGTAAACTCCAGCAATACCACTTCTGGATACATATCCAAAAGAATTGAAAGCAAGGTCTCGAAGAGATAGTTGTTCATGTATGTGCACAGCAGCATTATTCATAAAAACTAAAACCTAGTGTCCATTGTAAGATGAATGGATAAGCAAAATAAAGTATATACATAGAATGGAACATTATTTGATCTTGAAAAAAGAATGAAATTCTGTATATGCTACAGCATGGATGAACCTTGAAGACATTGTGTTAAATGAAAAAGCTAGTCACACAAAAAGACAAATACTATATTGTTTCACTTATGAGGTATGTAGAGCAGTCAAACTCATAGAAACAGAAAGTATAATGGTGGCTGCCAGCAAGCAGAGATGGGGAGAAATGAGGAATTGTTGTTTAATGTGTGTAGGGTTTCAGTTTTGCAAGACGAAAAGCTCTGGAGATTGGTTCCACAACAATGCGATTCTATTTGACACTACTGAACTGAACACTTAAAAATGGTTAAGATGGCCCTGGCTGGTGTGGCTCGGTGGCTCAGCCTGCAAGCCAGAGGGCTGCAGATTTGGTTCCTGGTAGGGGAACATGCCTGGGTTGTCAGCTGGGTCCACGGCTGGGGGCGTGAGAGAAGTAACCAATTGATGTGTCGCACATCAACGTTTCTCTCCCTCCCTTTCTCCCTCCCTTCCTCTCTCTCTAAATTTTAAAAATCTTTAAAAAAAGTTTAAGATGGTAAATTTTATGAGTATTTGACTGCAATTAAAAAAATCAAGTTTCAAAAAAATATTCTTACACAGATATCACCTCCCTTCCCCAAGCCCTAGTGTGAATTAACAACTCCCTCCTTTTTGCCTCTACTTTACTTTGAAAATACCACTATTAGGGCTCTTACATTTTGGGTAATTATTTGTTTGACAGGGTAAGGGTTCCTGTCCCATTTGCCCTCATCAAGGGGTGAGATGAACACTCATTCACTTCTGGGGTCTTGGCCAGAAACTAAGAAAACATACTAAGGTCTTTGCGGGGTGGAACTTAGGTAGGAAAAGAGACAATAGCTCTGAAGGAATAATATCCAAAGGGAATAGTCATTATTAGCCAAAGTACAAGGTCTGTCCAGAAGGTATCCAGACAGGTAATATGAAAAAAAGAGACCCTTATTAAAGAAGATACAAGACACAAGAAATATTGTACACAGGACAACGACGCCCTAGTCCACTTCAAAGTAGGCACCTCGGGACCTCACACAGTTCTTCCAGTCACCATCAGCTGCCCTGTTGTATTTTTCTGAATCTCATCAACCATCTGAAATCTCTTCCTTTTCAAAGATAATTTTAGTTTTGGGAAAAGCCAAAAGTCACAGAGTACCAAATCTGGGCTGTAGGGATTTCCCCAAAAAACTCTGTATGAGACATGATGCGTGAGTGGGCATGTTGTCATGATGAAGCTTCAATCACCAGTTGCCCATCGCTGCGGTCTTCTGAATGATCCAAATAGTTTCTGTGGAGAAATGTTCAAGCTTAACACAAGATTTGATGCATGTTCATTGCTCTACTCACTCAGTCATTTTAAGTGCCATGGCCACTCGGTATTATGAGAGATTTTGCTCTGAGGCGAGATCTGGAAGCACCATTTTCCTTCAGTCATCCTTTTGCAGGCAGGATCTGAAAGACCTAAAGAGCACTTACCTCTACCCCTGCCCACATACAAACATCTGAGGCTCCATCCTTAGTCCAAACAGCTGAAATGGATTGGTCCAACCCAGTCTGACCCATTGGAGGGAAGACAGTAAGATGTTCATTCAAGATAGATTCAGGACACAGTAGCTTATCTAATAGATAAAGTACCCAGGGGCCAAATAAAGAACTCTCCTGCTGCCTCCCTTGGACTCTTTGTATGTATTCTTGATTCCTAATAAGAATTCATTTTTTTTCCCGATAATTCCTGACCTTCCAAGGTCATGGTCAAAAAAAGTTTCCTTCGATGTTTTCCCTTTTTGAGGGCAGGTACCATACCTATTCATTCTTGTACTCCCAGGGTTCACTAGCCCTGACACATAGCAGGTGCCTAGTAAGTGCCAAAAAAAAGTGATTGAATGGTTAGTGAAGCCCAGGTGAGTCATTACAATAACCCACAGAGTGACTTTTGGCCAAGCAACTACTCCACTCCAGAAAAAAGGATAGTCTGAACTAGAGAGCCACAGGGAATATATAGGTCTGGTGGGAGTGGGGAGCAGAGGGATCATGAGAAGAAAAAGTGGCCATTATACATCCCAGATTGAGCTGGCTGATGAAATTTATACCCTCCAGTTTCATGTTCTATTGCCTCATTAGTCATTATACAGTGCTGACATTTATGTGGTCCCTAGGCAAATTTTGTTTCATTCTATAATTTCAGCTCCATCTGATGCACCACCATAACACTTGCTAAGTGGCCAGAGTCCCACAGACACACATACCTTGCCTCAGTTTTAAATTAGACATTATATTATCTGGCTAATTGGACCTGTTCAGGTCTGCTAACAGTAAGATGCTCATGTATGGCTCTTCCATGGAGTCTGCTCTTTGTAATTTTTTTCCCCTCTCCTGGAATCCTGGAGAGGGTTCCTTAGCAATGGGTAATCCAAAAAATCAGCTTTATTTGCCAACAAAATGGCACCCCTTCAAACTCACATTTATAGAATTTGCAAGTTGTAAGGAACAATAAAGATTAGTTTCCCCAGTAGGGAAACTTGTGTCTAGAGAGCCAAGGTGGGTCACTCAGAGACCCTGGCTTCCAGTCCTGAGTCCTTTTTCTTCTGCTACCCGCCTGCAGGTGGGGCCACACCTGCTTGGGACATGTCCAGGGCACTCCTCTCTCTGCATTTCTGTGCAATTGAGGCTCGCTCTGGACAGCTCTAAATTATCTGTGTTAGGAGAAGAGGAATAAGCTGACACAATTTTTTCACAGGTTAATTTTCCTTGTTCCGGGTAATTTTTTTTCTAAAGCTCAATTCTCAATGGTGCTCGCCTGAAGGTACTGTTCCATCAACTGAGGGCTAAGGAGACAGTCCACAGGCGCGATGGTTAGCCGAAATTTTGCCGTAAACAGAGCTGCGCAGCTTTTGGCTAGCCCCCAAATCATTTCTGTATCCTTTAATAGGCATTAACCGAACACCTACTGTGTGTCTGGCTGCAGCTGCCCAATTGAGTTGAGTGGCTGCTTCCATCACTCCACAGGCCCAAGAAGCCATACCAACCTGCAGACCCAGGACTTCTGATTCTCATCTCCGATGTGGCCTTACCTTGTTGTTGAGACTCCGAGCACGTTTTTCAACACGGGTGGCCTCTAGCTTCAAAAGTTAAAAGAAAAAAGAAAAGAAAAGAAAGGAAGCTTTTCGAAACGGAAAGGTATTTTTTTGGAACTGGAGAAACACACAACGTAAGCGCTGTGAGCCGCTTAACAGGCTCCCGTTCCTGGAGCCACACCCCACCCACCCCCAAGCCCAGGCTGTCCACCGCCTGCCCAGCGGGCTCCCCGGCCAGGCCCTGGAGAGCCAAGGCGGTGGGGGCCAAGGGGGAGCCTTTCTCTTTAAGAGCCCCACATGCGATCGTGATTGGCTGTAGCTATGCAGGTCTTTCTTCCCGGCTCTCTCCGAGCACTGCCTCCCCCGCGGCGTTCCCCGCTCGCCTGCCTCCCCCAGCTCCCCCGCGCCTCGCCCGCCCCTCGTGCTCGCTCCTTCTTCCTTGCAGCTGAGTTCCGCCCCGGCAGCGGCATGGGTGATGCGCCAGCAACAGATGCCGGGCTCCCAGGTTTGCATCCTTAGGCCACACTGAACGCTTGCAGAGAGAAGGAACGGGAGAAGGGCCGGGAAGGCGGGGACAGGAGGTGTGGAGATCCCCTCTAAAAGGCAGTAGCCCCCGCCCTCACCGGAGAGATCCGTGCGGGCAGAGCTCTGCCTCCCTGCTGCCGCTGCCGCCGGCTCCCACCCTCTCCCAGCCATGCCAGGCGAGGCTGCTGACGAGGGGAACGTTCCCCTCTTCAACGCCGCGGAGGAAAGCCGTGCCGGGGTCGAGGGCTCGGCGGGCGCCGGCGGCCAGGAAAGGCCGGGCGCACGCGAGCAGCGGCAGGACATCGTTTGGAGGAACGTCGTCCTGATGAGCCTGCTCCACTTGGCCGCTGTGTACTCCCTGGTGCTCATCCCCAAAGCCAAGCCACTTACACTGCTCTGGGGTAAGTCGGATACCGTGGCGAGGCCGCACCGGAGCGCGTGGAGTCGCGGGTCGGCTGCCGGCGGCGCGGAGCCCCCTTCGCTCTCCAGTCGCCTTCCCTGCAGGCGCCCAGGTCCCCGTGGCTTGCAGTTGCCCTCCCTTTGGGACGGGCAGATATTTCTGCCCAGGTATTTTCAACTTCTGCCTCCCCCGCTGTGTGCCTGAGTAGGCTCATTTGTCCGCTCCCCGATGGAGAGCGGGAGGGACCCAGAGTCCTGCGGCGCCACGCCACCGCTGTGCGCAGAGAGGCGCGCGAGGGAAGACGCTGGGCACCGGCCGAACCCGGCTTTGACCGAAGGAAGACGGGCGGGTCGATTGTGTCCCCTGTGCGGGTCCCAGGGGCTCTCTCCTATCTGCTGCCTTTCAGCCTCTCAGTGTCCTCCGCGGGCCACGGACCTTGGGGCCAAGTAAGGACAAGAAAGGAAGTGAAGGGGGTGGAGAGACCTGGCCCAGGAAATGTCTTGATTTCGCGCACGAAATGGAAGCAAGCAGTTACCTTCCTAGCGCCTACAAGGCCCCTAGGACCTGCCCGGTCCCCAGTCTCCTTTGCCCAATTGCTCTTGTATGGCCCTGGAAGTTTCTTGGCGAGCACAACGAGCTCACGTTGAGAGCGCTCCGCCTCTAGCACTAAGCCCCGCTTGTGGTCATGGAGATCCCTCTCCAAGCCCTGAACCCCTCTGGCCAGTGCTGGTCTGTCACCACACCTGTGGCTTTCCCACCACCCTCCTTTTTAGCACCCCCATCCCTGCCAGCAGGAGAGGGAACCCAGGAGTAGACCACCCCTCGAATCCCTCCAACCCCTCGAACTCCCACACGCCGGACCCCAGGGGCTCACTGCTTGCTCTGTGTGACTCCGGTAGTAGGCCTCTCAACACCTAGAACGACCCTTAGCCTCAGCAACTGGTTTTGGCCTTGGTCACCAGAGCGGCAGTAACCCAGACAAAAGGCGCAGGGCATTGATAGTCTCCTGGGCAGAGACTTGGACCAGGTACTCCAAGAAGCTCTTTCAGATCAGTTTCTGAGATCACCAAGGAACCAGGGCAGGAGAAACACAACCTACTTTTATTTCCAGAGGGGAAGAGGAAAGGAAACATAAGACTTCTTTTTGCAAAGCTCCTTATTTGACAGAGTGCCAGTTTCAAATGCTTAGGTTGATAATGGGGCCACTTGGGTTCCAAGGCTTTCCTTGAAAACCTGCAGCCCCTGCTCTGGAAGCAAACGCATGTAGCCCCTGGATACCTTTTGGGTGGGAGTGTGGGGCGAGGTGCGTTGTGGCTGAGGGAGGGATGCAGAATTGAAAAATGGTGAGAGGGGCAGGGTTTTTGGGAATCATGAAGGCTTTTAAATTTCCCTAAAAGCTTTGGGAAATCCCCCTGCTCAGCTCTTCCCCACTTAATGCGCCCCCTCAGTTTTGTGTCCCTTTCACCCTGGTCTTTGTTTTGTGTTGGTTTAACTTTGGTTTGTCTTCCTTCTTATCTCCAAGTGACTAAATTGTAAGATGTCCAGCCATTAATTCATGAACATACCTCTACCCAGCAGCCAAAGCCTTTATTGCCCCAGAACCTCCTTGGAGCTCCTCCCTCCCCCTCCAGGGGCAGTACTGTTGGACTTCCGATCACACCCGCCTCCGGGGGGATTGGGTCTTAGCCTAGCAGCTGCAGTGTCAGAGCTCAGGGAGAAGTGAGCACTTAAAATATTATGTTACATGTCAGGCTCCACTTCTTCCAGCCACTGAACCCCACTGACTCTGGCACCCCAGGAGTCACAGGGCCGAGGCCTCCTCTTCAGGTTTGCTAAGTCACCTCTGCCCTATCTGGCCTGTTCTCTGTGGTGAAGACAGAATCTTTGTTTGGAAAGACCTTGGCCAGAGGACATCTCCCTTGGCCCCAGAATCCCCAGAGAAGTCAACACACTGAAGGAATCTGATTTTCCCTTTCTGGTGATGTTGCCAAACCCCGTCCTTGTACCTCCCTGCATAGTCTTCTGCTTTAGCTACTTTTTATCAGCTCCATTCTCTTCATCTTATTTCTTTCCCAAGCCCTGCTGGTGTGACCCAGTGGATGGAGCACCAGTCTGCAGATCAAAGGCCGCTGGTTCAGTTCCCAGTCAGGGCACATGCCTGGATTGTGGACCAGGCCCCTGGTTGGAGGCATGCAAGAGACAACTGATTGCTGTTTCTCTCCCTCTCTCTATAATTCTTTAGGGAAAAAAAGCATCGTGTCCCTAAAAAAATAAAAAGAGCAGACAGTGGTGAGTGTTGTAGTTTCAAGTTTCACAATTGTGACCTAGAAACATTCCAAATAAATGAGTCTTACCTGATGGATATCTTCTGAGAGAAGATCGGTTGTGCTGTGGCTAGGATATTTAGGGCAACTGGGAGACTAGGGGCACTGTCGACTCAGGGTTATTTTCAGTGAAAGCTCTGGTGCCTTGACCCACAAATTTCCCCTTACTAGATTCCCTCTTCACACGCCCTCCCTCGCTGGCTCTATCTGTGCCCCCACCCAAGGTGAGGTTGCCCTGGAAACGAGAGGCATCCATGCAGGGCACCCATCAGAGGATATGTTAGGTGTGCCATGTACAGAGAGTAATTTGTGTGGTGGTAAAATGTCATCCATGAAAGATCCATCAAGTTGTTCAGTCCATACTCCTCCACTGTCTGGCCCCCACATTTTCATGACTGTCCTTGGGGCTAGAACAAATTGTTTTCCTTATCCTTGCAGCATTTTGAGTGGCGCCTACAGGTCCTGAGGGATGAGTTTATGAGTTTCAAGAACAGAATGCAAACTCCAACTGGAGTAAAATCTTCACCTGAAGGCTTGAGCTCACAGAAGTGCCTGCTTTGACGGTTTTGGCCCAAGGGGCAGCTAGTCCATGCACTGAATCCCAAGATAAGTAGAACAGGGGAGTAGGGAGCAGTTGCCATAGTATCAAAGTAGAATTCCCGTGACTCCTTCCCAGGGAGCTTCACCCCAGCGTGTCTCCAGGCTCTCTGGTTGTTGGTTTCCAGAAATGTCAGGGACTTTTCTGCTTTCTCTCAAAATGTCACCCAGGTCCTGTTCAGGGGTAAAGGCAGTGTCTCATGGTGACATCATGGGTTTTTCCTCTCACAGGACAACTTCAGTGACATTACCTGGCATGCAAAACAGTGATTTGTGCCTCTCTTCCATCCTGCCCTGGCAAACGGGACCATTGTTAAGCTAATACAGGATTCTCTGGCTCCCGTGTCCTGGTTGCTGGAGCATTTGGACCATTCTGAGTGAGATTAAGCCTATGGGGAGGGAGCTGAGAGGTGGCAGGAATTAACAAAACAGTCTGGGGACAGGCTGCCTCAGGAGAGGCAGAGGTCTGGAAAGTGCTGGTCCATCAGTCAAATTCTGGCCAACTCTGAGAGGTGCCCAAAGAAGAGCTGTCTTCTGTCAGGCATCGGGTAACCTGCATCCACCACTTGGGATGGTCCTGATGTCTGTTGGGTTGTGCTGCTTCTTCCATCTGGTCCCTAAGGTTGTCGAGGAGTCCCAAGAATGTGTGGCCAGGGATTCTCTGTTTTGCCTCCAGGTCTTTAAGGGTGAGCAAAACTCAAGGAAGAGATATATCTAAATGTGAATCCCTGCTCTCCTTCTTACCAGCTGCATGGCCTTGGACCGACAAACATCTTTAAAGCTCCACTTTTACACCTATAAAATGGGTATATTAATACTACTTGCTCATGAAGTTGTGAGAATTAAATTAGATAACATATGTAAATCACTTAATACAGTGCTCGGCCTTCAGCTGGTGTTTAGTAATTGTCAGCTGCCGTTATAATTATTGGTCCTAATACTGGCTGCTTTTCTCTTTTCTTTCTTTGTTGGTTTTTAAAAATATTTTATTTATTTAATTTTAGAGAGCAGGGAGGGAGGAAGAGAGGAAGCAAAACATCAGTCAGTTGCTTCTCACAGGCCCCCAACCTGGGACCTGGCCAGCAACCCAGGCATGTGCCCTGACCCAGAATCCAAACTGCGACCTTTCAGTGTGTGGGATGCCCAAGCCACTGAGCCACACCAATCAGGGCTGGCTGTTTTTCTTTAGTAGAAGGAGGAAAGGCCCTCTTGCAGCACCATGCATTCTACAAAGCTAGAACAGCACTTGACTTCATTGCCTCTCTTGCATGGGGAATTATTGTTTTGGCTTTGGAAACAAGGGTTCTTTTTCAAAGTCCCCAAAGAGAAATGAACACAATCCCTTCCTCCTCCATTCCCTTTTCTTTGATTCTATTTTCCTCCAAAAGGCTACTATTTGGTAGATAATTCTTTTGTTCAACTAACAACTCACCTGGTCTATAATGTTTTTCTTAAGGGACAGTTGCAGTAGAAACAGGGCCAAATCATTTCTCTAAATCCTCTATGGTCTGTTTTGAATTCCCCCCGGCCCCTTCCTCTCTCCTTGAGTCATCTTAAAAAAATAAAATCTTTAATGCTCAATAACTGCTAAAAAAACTGAAAAATATGAGTCTTCATTGTAAACCCCATAATTGCCAGACCATTTTTGTTGCAACTTTTGCGTTGTTAATAAATGAGCAAGCACTAAAAATCTTACCCGAGGCTGGGGTGCAACAAAACCTACAGAATAGAGTATGCTTTTGCTGGCTTTATATCCCTAACATGTATAAATATAGGTTGAGGTTAACATTATTAGCTCAGTTTTTTTTCTAAAACTGGTCAAGGTCACTGCAGGCTGCGTGGTGACCATGAAATGAGAAATTGTGCAGCTGAGCAGAAACCTAGGCTGGAATCCCAGCGTTGCCACTTAGTTGAACTTCATACACGTTCCTTACCAGGTTGTCGGCCTCGACGTCCTCATATGGAAATGGGAACAATAACGCTGAGATGAAAGTTGTTTTAAGAACTGAAGCATAAAATAAAGGGCCTGGCGGAGAGTAGACGCTCAATGCTTTCTGCTCTTACTATCTCCCACGATGGC